GTGTGAAGTTGAACTTTCAAATATTCCATTCTTAACGGCGGAAGGTGAACTGGATTTCTGATGGTAAAATGGATTTCTGATGCTAAGACACATTTTCGCTCTAGACATCATTATAGAAGGCTCGTTTTTTCTACTATAAAACTAGTTCAATTATTTTACAAGGATCTCTTACCTGAGAACATTTCAATAGCTCCGTAGCCAACTCTGAAGGTTGTTTCTATGTTTTCAATCTCTTGCTCTATGCCCTGATATTTCAGAATCTCTGCCTTGAATTCTGAAAGAATGGGATCTGAAGCAACGAAATCCTGTACGTGTAAATAAAGATCAAAATTAGAATCGTTTAAGGGGCAGTGTGGTTGTTTCAGTAAGGTTGCCACGTTTTCAGCGAAGGTGGAAGACTCAAGTACCTTTTAGTTTTCTTACTAAACCACATGCAGTTCAGCAATCACAGAGAACAATTCGTGCAAGTAAGCGGACTGATACCTAAATTTCACGGAAGATGCAGACCAAGATTTGGAATTGGAATCAGATTATACAAATAATTATAATTTGGGCCAGAGTTGAGGTCATGTTGTAAGAGCATGAAGTCTGTTAATTACGTGCAGAAACCTTCTGTATTTATTACGACTGTTTTGTAAAAACAAACCATTTATTTCAACTTATCAGAGTAAATCAAAAACTTCTCATCGCTCGAGTTCGAAACTTTGCTAGCGCTTCTCATCAATGTAATAGGTTAACAGTGCTATCTGAACACAAATGTGACTAATTAGATGGGTATAATTTGTTCTTGGGTTGAATTCCAGAGTAAGTGAAAACGCTGGTCAGCATCATTACTCACAGCTACGACTTTCTGCTTGTCCTCATCCCAGACTGAGTGGAACTGTGTGAAAGAGTCCAGACAGGTCATGACCTCAGCCTTGCAGGAACTTATCACTGAAGTGAGCACCATAAGTAGTTTGATAATGTCCTTGTGTTCCGATACGCTCTTATAGTAGTTTTTCAGCTTTGATGCAGGAATCTCTTCTTCTGCGGTTGAAAAGGACGTCTAGATTAGTATTTATGTAAATAATAATCAAAGGTTTAAGAGCTTGTTCACACTGCGCCGGAGAAATTTGACTAAACGTAGCTTCATTTCTACGGTTAGGCCTACCGTCCACACTAATCCGTCACGAAAACGGAGCCTCTCGAAAACGCTCTCCAAATTGGAGGAATTTGCAAACGCCGGCTTTGCGTTTTAGTGTGGACAGCAAGACATTTTAAAAACGGAACTTTTCCGAAAAACGATGACGCGACGATAATCATGTGATTTTCTTGCCATAGTCTTCCTCAAACACAAATCGAAAATGGCTGGGTTTTTCTTGCTGCGTTTTCAGAGTGAAGTTCATATTCCAGAGTGACGTTCAAATTTCAGAGTGAAGTTCAAATTTCAGAGTGAAGGTCAAATTTCAGAGTGAAGTTCAAATTTCTCCGGCGTGGTTATGACGGGACCTAAGTGTCAATTGTTCTTCTTTTTGTTAACGCATGATTAGAGCCCTTGGATTGAATCGTTTTCTCTAACATAAATCTTTGAAGATTTTCCATACTTATGTTACACACTTCCGCCGTACGTCCTTTAAAAAGGCGTTCGGCGGAGTGAGTAACACAAGTATCGAAATAATGTAAAGCACGATCTAAATCGGAATAATACATAATACTCATCGATGTATGGTTTGCACGACTACTAACAAAGTATGTCCAGTGTAAAACAACACAAATTCTTCATTTTTGGCCAAGGGCTGTTTTTATAAGAGTAACTGAATTTGAGAGTCAAGATAACCTTGCAAAGGGAATTATATCTATTTTGAACCTGGAATTTTGTTTAACGCGTGATTAGCAGCGTTGGAGTGAATCATAATAAAATCTTTCAAGATTTTGGATACTTGTGTTAAACACTTCCACCGTACGTCTTTTAAAAGGGCGTTCGATGCAAATGAGTGACATAAGTATCGAAATAATGCAACACACGATCTAAACTCGTAATAATATATAATAATAGTTATCGATGTATGGCTTGCACGTGTGCTATCTCTAAACTACGCATGACAAATGGAAAACAGCACAAACTCTGTTCTTGTTAGAGTTAAATTTAAAAGAGTCAAAACAACCCTGAAAAAACATATTTTGAACCTAGAAGTGTAACTCCATTCTAAGTTAAAATTACTCCTCTAATAATAAACCTAACTCCACTTTAGGAGTTAAGATAACTCTTGCTATGAAGTAAAACTCGATTCCGGATTTGGAGTTAAAAATAACTCCAAAAAGTAGCTATGTTTGGCCAATAATGTTAACTCAGTCTTTTAAGTTGGAGTAACTCCTTGACTGAAAAATAGTGTTGATACATGTATAGTGCTACATGATGATGACAACTACTAGGTCACCGTCTAATGGATAAAATTGGCAGTAGTACCGTCAATTAGAAAGCCAAGGCTTTAAAGGGGCTTAAGCACGGCACTTTGAGTTATTTACGCCACGTACAAAATTACCTTTAAATTGAAGGGACCAGAAAACAGTAGTTTACTAAGATAGAAAAACACCAAAGAGATGATAATAAACCATAAAGGAGCAAGGATGGTTAAGGGTGGAGGAGACTGACATGGATTACAAACGACGAACTTGAAAACTTTAGGCTAAACTTTTCAAGATGCGTAAGCCGTGAAGTAGTTCCTTTAGTAGCTGAAGTAGCTGAAGTAGCTCCTCGATTTCAAGGCAAGCCTCAAGTTACTGCAGTTCTTTGTTTTGTAACCCAGTTACTGTTTCTTTTCAACCCGGCTACTCACTAGATTCAGTGGCTCTCACGGTCCTTTTGATGTGACCTGGTGTGGAATCGTTCTGTGGATTAATTTCCATCTGTTTGAATCTCTTCTGTCCCCATTGAGCCACAGACCGGGTAACATCCAGCACAGACTGCGCAGCTTTGTTTAGAGTTTGTTGTATATCGTCCAGGCTGGGATGGATAACCTGTGCACAAGGATATGGAATTTATCGCTCGGTCCATAATTATAGGTCAAAAGTGAACTGACAAAAGCAGTCTGTCCTGAAACCTCAGTAAACCTGAACCAAAGTAATATGTCTTAGAGTTTTATGAAGTTCGTGGTGTTTTTCTGTCTTTACAGTACTGGGCTTGATTGTGAGAGTGCGTAGCTATGCTTTACCGAAAGTATTCTAATTCAATAGCAAGTATAGTTATCCCGGGGGGCGGGGGGGTACTCCCATATGCAAGCTATATGCCGCTGTGAAGGGTATGGTTTTCAGGCAGTTTAGTTTGGGATAGGGTATAGAAACCAAACAGTCTTGGTCTGCAATAGGTATAATTTACCGGAAAAGTGGCTAGTGCATAAATAATTTAGTCTAAAACGGGGTTCTTTACTCGGGGATGAAACTCAGAAGTGACTTCTTAAGATATTGGTTTAGTTAGCGGATGTTGGACAATATTAGCGGTTACGTTTCTGCGTGGGAAATAGCTAGTCTTAGATAGGGTAGGGGTTTGTGGTGCCTAGTCTAGAATAGGGTTGAAAAATAAAGCTGATCATGGTCAAGTATAACGTTTCAGTGTCCCAGCGGACACCCCTACCCAAAGATTTACAGAGCACCAACCCCCAATAAAGCTATAAGCAACTGATTGCCTGGTTTAGATAACCCGCACCGTTACTTCAAGAGGCAAACACTCTACTTTGAATATCTAACTATTACTTAAAAAAATGTGAGTTAGTGTAAGTAATTAATGCAATGAGTGTCAGCGCTAAGAGCATGACGCATAACGCACCACTTGTGGAATAACCAGAGTTATGTCTGCCTTGAAGAAGGGAGCTTTGCTGAAAGCGTTTGTTGGGAAACCTGCAGATGCCGAGAAAGTTCCTTTACCATACGATGACCGCGTGATACTAAATAACATAGGGAGAGAAGTGCAAACAACATTAGCGACAAGGAATATTTTTCAGTTTCAAGCACGTCTATTGGGTCGTCACGCAATGTCACGCAGCACTTCTCAAGTTGCCTAGGACGTTGCGTGACGACTAACCAGCAGATACTGAGAAAGTTCCTTTACCATACGATTACCGCGTGATATTAAATAACACTGTAAGAGAAGCGCAAACAACATCAGCAACAAGGAATTCTTTTTCAGTCTCAAGCATGTCTATTGGGTCGTCAAGCAGTGTCAAGCAACAATTCTCAAGTTGCCTGGGACGTTGCGTGACGAATCAAGCTAAACGCACCTGGTACAAAACAGTCTGCGTTTCATTCCATCCAAAGCGTTTCTTGTAGCACGCAGAAGAGCCTCGAATGTGCGATGATTAAAGTACAAAATCAGCTCATCTATTTCTTCGTCAATAGTTTTTTCGTCGGGTAGCTTGGACGCCTTCTCTCTCTGTCCATCCTTGTCCTTTTCCCTGCTCTCCAGTTTGCGATCCTTCTCTTTGTCTGTGGCTTTGGATGACGGAGACCTGGGTCCCAGTGCTGATACACCTATGCTTTCCAAGCTCTCGAGGAAGATACTGGCTAACTCATGGACGGCTTCTTCCACGCACAGACTCATGTGATCCAGGACTTTGCCAAGAGGTTCGCAACGTTTCTAAACAACATAAAATAGTGTTACAATCTAATAACGAGTTTTGTCAAGGCAATCGGTATCGAAGCCGTTATTTGGGTTGTCACGCTCAGAAAGATGAGCATTGCCATGGTTGCCAGACATCTCCTTTCAAAATTCCCTGACTTGTCCCTGATAAAAATAAAATTTCCCTGATTAATAAATACAAAATGTCAGATATAGTAGCTGCTTCTAGCCTCCCTTTGCAGCCGCCGTTTCCACCCATTCATTAAGACTGATAAGCTGTCAAAAAAAATTCCTTCTTCTAAAAAAAAACTCGTTGAGATCACATTGCTCGCAAATGTTTCTTCCAGCCTTCAATGGTATTAAATCAGCCGTGTTAAATAATTTAAATTTTCCCCGCCTTTTCTTCAAAATAGCAATTTTTCCAGACTCAAAATAAAATTCCCTGATTCTTCCCTGAGCTTGAAATTCCTATTCTCTGACCATTTCCTGACCTGTTGCAACCCTAATTGCACGGAAACCCAAATAACAGTTGACACATCAAAATACAGAAAAATAGTGGCAAATAACCAAAAGGTAACTACCACACTACTCCTGTTTTATGAAACAACATCTTGCAGAAGTTATATTTTGCTTCGAGTTTTCATTGATTTAAAGTTCAT